AAACAATTTCAGGGTTTTTTATTAGATAATTATCATTAGCTACAAAGTACTAGATGACTACAATTCCTCAGCTAGATCATTACATGCATATTCCATTTGATTCAGAATAAACGTCACACACTCCTTCACTCAAGCTCTCAGTTATAATTATTAAAAGTCTTAAGAACCAGCTCTGAATAAAATTAAAGAAAAATACCCTAGAAACTTTCACATTTTGTAAAAGTTGAATCAAGTTCTAAAAGATTTAAGTCTAAGGGGAGAGTTGAGGTTTTTGGGGGGTCTGGTCATTGCATGTAGTATGGTATGTAGATCAGGAATTAAGAGTGGTGTCAAAATGCTGTATGGAATAAAGTTTCCAATTTCTCTATTTCAGCACAAATTAAAGGAAAAAGTGTTTATGATACTTTTCTTGAATTATATGCAGTACACTTAATTATAAACTAGCATTTATTGCCTCAATATGAGAGTGGAATAACTCCTGTTTGATCTTACCTTACACCGCAGCACCTTAGAGGATCCTATTCTTTTCCTGCTGGAATCATTTGCTTATATAGCTTATATTTCCTTTTTCTCCATTTGTACTTTGTGGGAAAACAGATATGAACCTCGCTGATTTGATCTGTCTAAGCTAAAGACGTGCATAAACTTCTACAGCACAGATGCCTCTGATTAAGGCTTTTATAGAGCCATCGTGAACGGAGCCAGAATTTACCCCAACATATATTTCCATGTCGCGATAGGCATGAGGGCACTGATGAAACAATATTCACTGTGATACTAAAATTTAATAAAGAAGAAAAATGCATTGATTTCTTTCAGTGATCCATATCATTATTCAGCATGGAGAAATCACCTGTTTAAAACATTCAGCACGCCCTTGCCGTTTGATAGCAGCGGACTGTTGCTTTCTCTGCAAGAATAAGATTGCTGTGATTTCTGCTTCGTACCTGCTGCCCACCTTTCATTGTACTTGCAGCATCAGTTTTATTTGTAACATAAGTATTTAACATGTAACTCAGGAAGCATTTTCTCTTTAGTTGTTGTAAGTCTCAGGAAAGCTGTCTGACCTAGTCAGCTTTCAATTAAAGCAAGATCTTTGCACTACTAGTTTTGATCTCCCTATTCTTTAGAAAGAAAAATTGAAAGTGCTGACATAAAAAGTTTAAATCATATTAAACAGAAACAAAGAAACTGTCAGCTTTACTACTTACTAGGAAAAGACCAGGAAAGCAATATTCTTACCTAAATTGGATTTAGACTGATCTAGGAGTTGAGCAGTTACAGGAAGAGTCAGAGTCAACTCCCTAATTTATGAGATTTCAGATCCCAATGATTCAAATTTCACAAGGACAAATGAGCTCAAAAAAAGTGCTCAATTTCTCTGCTGGAAATCACATTCCACATCTTCCACTACCCTGAGGGAAATTTATCATCTTTGGTCATGATGGAACCAAACCAGAGAAATAAGTTCTCTCTTTTTCAGGACAAAAATCTATACAGAAATTTAATATGTAGCAGAATTGAAAATGATAAGTCATGAGTTTCGCCATCCTGTCCACTACTACCACCACCCCTCCACCTCCACTGAATTTGTGGTCCTTTGATTGAAGGTTCAGACCTACAGTTTATTTTTGTCCACCTCATTCTATAATTGTATGAAAATTAAATTAGGGCATGAAACAATCTGTTCTATGGTTGGCAGAAGCCCTTCTTTTGACTTAGATAATGGAATAGTCCCTTAAAAGTATGAAAATCATCTCCCCAGTTTTAGTGTTGAGCATTTCAGACATTCAGTTGATTTTCTAATTTTGAGCTTAATTCTACTTTATCATTCAGGGTGAAGGGCACACTTTCACAGTCAGAGAAATTTCCAGTTGAAAAAACATGAAGTTTCCCTAACAAAAATCTCACAAGAGAAGTTATTATTTAAAATCCTCAGCTGTCTTTGATTCAAAATCCAGGGGTGTTAGAAGAAGATATATTTCTGCGTGATTTATGAATTCAATGAGTCTTTCATTGTTAATGTATAAATGACCTTTTCTGTCCAGACTCCTAGTTTAGGAATTTATTTTTTAAAAAAATAAAAAAAAAAACACACAAACCCCAAAAATCTTCAGAAGACTTTTCTTGAAACTTACATACTTCAGGAATGCAGCAAATCAAGGAGATGGAAAATATCCTCTGAGACAGAACCCGGTACACTTGACCTTCTTCAGCCATAAAGGATTGGTAGACAAACATTGTTTGCTACTTGCCTGAATTAAATTGGGTCTCCTGAGATGCATATGAAGCAATTTAAAAAAAGAAAAATGCCGTTAACCGAATTTACTCAACCATCAATCTGAAGTAAACCTTATTTACTGTATTCATCTATTAAACTAATATAATCATTTGCATTTTAATCAGAAAAAATGACATTTAATTAGTGTTACAAAGACAAACCCTGCGAAAGCTCCCCTACCTAAGCATTCAGCTAGGCCACCATTTTTCAGTCTCACCACAGTGAGTCTTGTACGCTTTTATGCTTCCCTTGGTCTAAGCGAGCTTCAGGACAGTTTTATTAATTCAACTCCCTGGCACACTTCCGAAGCAGGAATAGGCACTCTTGTCACAATTTCATACAAATGGGGCCTTCTTGCTCAGCTGCCTTACACCCTGAGAACTGGCACCATCTCCTTTCCCAAATCCATCCTCTAAATTTCCTTGGATACAGTTCTTTTTTTTTTAAGGACTTTTGATGGTTGAGAGATAGTAGTTTACAAACAAAACAAAAAAAACCAGAGCAAGCCAATGAATCATAATGTCAGCAATTTACAGATCTAGACATACCAATAGAAAAAATAAAAAGCCCTGCGCACCTGTTCTTGCCATACTTTCCTTGCTATTTTTTTCCTCTGACCAAGAGCTCCAGAAATGTTCTCCTGTTGAGTGGTTTCAGACTATGACTCAAAGATGCTTGGCTGTGCCTTTTATACCCAGTTTTTTCCACCCCAAGATCCTGAAATTAAGCAGGACACTTTTATGATAGCATACCCCTGTTTCTGCCCAGATTTCCTGCATCTGCCTTCTTTTTCTTTCACCTCCACTATTTCTTTCGCACTCTGCTTTATAGGATTGACCTTTTTTTTGTTCTGATTGGGGACCTTAGGAACTTTCCACTCCCAGCCTCATGCAGAAATTAAAGACAGCCGGTTTCACCTCAAACACAATCCCATTGTGCCATGGCATTTCTACCAGGATGGTGACTGTTGCGGTTTAATGGCCCTTCAGTGCTTTGGATCTTGAGGAGCATGGCTGAGTTCTGATATTATGCAGCAGACTGTATATACCAAACCATTCTAATGATAAAGCCGTTTCATAAGCTCGCTCACTCTGATCCATATGTACATGCACACAAAGTCTGTAAATCCTCACTTTTTTTAATTTTTCCAGGATTTAATTTCACCTTCATAGAAATAGGTAACCGGAGTTTTGACTTTAAAAAAGCATAGTGGGCCAAAAACACACCAACAAATCAAGCCTCAATAAACAGTCTTCTGAGTCAGCTTGCAAAGCCTAAAACACAAATATATATTTTTTAATATTTCATCATTGTACAGCAGGGAATTACAACAGCAGCCCTGCAAAATTGTCCATTTAAAATCAAATTCTTCCATCTCAAAGTACGCTTCCCCCTCCCCTGCCCACCCCAGAATTATACTGCAGCAATTCACTTCTAAGTCACCGGTTCTACAATTTCAACTATCAGACAACACAGTCCAATGAAAGTGGCATCAGCTACTTCTCACAGGAGCCCCAAAGACTTGTTTTGGAAGAGGCAGCAATTTACTCCAAAATTTTTTCATAATTTTTTTCTCCCACCACAATACACAAGGAGATTTTATTCATTAAATGTTCACTTCTTTTACGCCTGTACAGGCTGAAGGCTGCGGCATGAGCGTGTCTAAAGTATCTGGCATCATAATATACATTTATTGAACAGTTTATTGATCAACGCCTGAATGCTTGTCTTATTTTCTTTTAAAATGCTCATTAAACAGAATTTTGACATTCTTTTTGGAAAAAAAAAAGAAACAAAAAGATGATAAAAAAGAAATAGATCATTAAAAAGATACACTTGAGAATTCCTCCAGCAGCAACCTGCAGGCATAAGGGAAAGCTCATTGTCAAGTATGATTTATGAAACCTTGTTAAATTTACTTAAGATAACTGGGAGGCAGACTAGTACACTAATAACCTCTTTAACATAAAACCTTATGGAATATGGTGCATCCTTTATACAATAAAAAGGCTAATTTAGCTTGTCACAACATAGAACTGAATTAATATAGAAGTGAAAAGACTCTCAAATTGTGCTATTAAGTCCAAATGAGGGGGATGGAACACCTCTGCTATGAAGAAAGGCTGAGAGAGTTGGGGTTGTTCAGCCTGGAGAAGAGAAGGCTTCGGGGAGACCTTATTGCAGCCTATCAATACTTAAAGGGGGCTTATAAAAAAGATGGCGGCAAACTTTTTAGCAGGGCCTGTTGTGACAGGACAAGGGGGAATGGCTTTAAACTAAAGGGGGGTAGATTTAGACTAGCTAGAAGGAAGAAATTTTGTACGCTGAGGGTGTTGAAGCACTGGCATAGGTTGCCCAGAGAGGTGGTGGATGCCCCATCCCTGGAAACCTTCAAGGTCAGGTTGGACGGGGCTCTAAGATGTCCCTGCCCACGGCAGGGGGGTTGGACTAGATGACCTTTAGAGGTCCCTTCCAGCCCAAACTATTCTATGATTGATTCTATAATTCTATGAAATGTTGGGTGATAGCCTAGCTATTGCTACCATTCAATGTGTTTTTCTTGCCTTGTCATGTAAAAATTAGATGAGCGTGCATGCAAGACAAGATTACTGTAGTCAAATGAGTGTAGATCCACCACAAAAAAAAAAAATCTACTATACCCTGTGACATTTCACATCAGCTTTTTTTTCCTTTCTTATTTTTTTTCCCACAAAGCTGCATTAATTAGGCCATTTATATTATAAAATTCCAGTTGATTATAAAGCATTACTTTTTGGCAGATTTTTGGTCTGCATGTAACCAGTTTCTTGTTTTATTGAGAACTGGTAGCATTCCTTCAGGCCTACAAATGCAAACTCACCTCTGCTTCTACTATTTGTTTCTCACACACAAATTGTTAACAGCTGAAAAGTTGTTGCATGTAAAATGCACGTATATATACACAAACATACACACACATATATGCTGCTGAAGCTGTATCCTATTCTGAGCCTAGCGTGGCAGGTGGTCATGATGAACAACAGGAGATTCTTGTGAAGAATGCGAGACGCCTTGCTGTTGTGTAGCAAAATTAATGAATACCTGTAAGACATTAAAAAAAAAGTAGGATTTTCAAAATAACAGTACTTGAACTGAAACTTTGGAGACATAGCGATGATATTTTTCAGTTGCTTTCCTAAGCTTTGATGACACAAAAATTAATAGTTTATGTTGAGGGAACCCCTCTAGAGATATGTTTTGTAAGCTCTAGAAATGATCCCTCTTCACCTCTCCAGCTAACACAGTGGTTGATGAATTATAAAAATAATGATAAAATGAGTTACTATCTTATGTATGAAAATTATATTTTACTGCTGCACAAGTTAGTGGGAAACAATTGTTTTAATTTGCTTTGAAATGACACACCTAAGGAACTTGAGACTGCTGTTTCTATCAATAACCATCACAGATGAGGGTCCAGATACTTCAAGGTGAAGGTATATTTCTGAACGTAGCAGAGTCATGACTCAACAACTAATGTGCCTCCTTGATTTTTTTTTTAAAACAGATCTTACTACAGAAAGGCTTGTTTGCTTTTTAATCGCACAACTATTTGACAGCAAGGAATGGAGAGTGAGAGATGGCTAGTCTTGATTCAAATGATCATATTCATATGCAAACAAACTTGGGATGCATTTTAAGGGTGTTTGTTATTCAGAACTATTTTCCCGTTTCAAACTGACAGTTAGTCAGAGAGAGGAAACAATGGTAGGTGACTGAGGTGATGAATCACCATGAATAACGGAGAGGAATTAAGCTAGAGTGAACAATGCCTGAACAATCAACAGGCTGAAATGACCTTATATACAGGCATTCATTGAATAGATCATTTACAAGCAGTGAACAGATCAGTACAGATCAGAATATTTCATTAATGATTTGCACATGGGAAAAAAGAGTACGTTCACACCATCTATCATGGAAAATTAATATTTGGACTGTATGTGACTCTCAGTTTGTAGAATACATAACAAGAAGTTGCATATAAAAACACTCTAACACATCACAACCACCCAGAAACCCCATCCTTGCCATCGTTCTGTTCTTCCTTCTGCCCCTATAGGATTTCACAGTCTTTACAAGTGGGATCTCTTCATTCTATTCTTCCTTCTGCCCCTATAGGATTTCACAGTCTTTACAAGTGGGATCTCTTCTGTCTACTTGTGCACTTCCGCTGCTCTCTAATGTGCAGAATGATACTCACTGCAAAAGAACAATCTCAAAGGAAAACGTCCCGTAAGTCTAAGGTTTACTGTAATTTGCAGAGACTGGTTCAGCCTTTTCCAGGACATTGGTAAGATCCCAACTTTTGGACTGTGGAGGTGGCAGTTCACAGTCCCACCTTCTCATCCCGCACAGATCGAGATGTATCTAAACACTGATTATGCTTGCGCACGGTACAAATACGTGGCTTATTGTGATGCTTTTACTGTGCTAACCTCCAGCGTAGAAGCAGTAGGGTTCATGAAATTACTGTGTAGACCTGAGGTGGCCTGGAACTGCTGGTTTGTCGCATACATTTGGGTAATCCAAAAAATGATATAGTATACTACTACATCAATAATTACAGTACACAGCATGTTCAGACAAAAAAAGGGGGGAGGGGGGACAAAAAGAAAAAAAGAAAGAAAAATAATGTCCTGGTTTTGGCTGGGATAGGGTTAATTTTCTTTCTAGTAGCTGGTACAGTGCTGGGTTTTGGATTTAGGATGAAAATAATGTTGGTAACACACCGATGTTTTAGTTGTTGCTGAGCAGTGCTTACACTAGTCAAGGACTTTTCAGCTCCCCACGCTCTACCGACTGAGAAGGCTGGAGGTGCACAAGAAGCTGGGAGGGGGCACAGCCAGGACAGCTGACCCAAACTGGCCAAAGGGACATTCCATACCATGTGACGTCATGCTCAGTACATAAATCACTTTCTTTGTATATTCTTTTATTATTGTTATTATTATTTTTATTTTATTTTATTTCAATTATTAAACTGTTCTTATCTCAACCCACGAGTTTTCTCACTTTTACTCTTCTGATTCTCTCCCCCATCCCACCGTGGAGGGGGGCGTGAGCGAGCGGCTGTGTGCTGCTCAGTTGCCAGCTGAGGTTAAACCACAACAAATAAAAAAGAAAATAATACCTGCTCTAATGTGGTTTGGCTAATGGAGTAGTGTTTGATTTGGAGAAAAGCTTTGTGATTCTCTAGGACTCTGAAGAGCTCTGCTAAGCATCCCTGACTTCGTGGTACATGGTACTCGAGCAGGTTAAGATGCTGTCCCTTAAAACAAGAAAAATGATAGAAAAAGATGAAAGTGAATGCACATTCTGATGAACTTACACTTGCTTATAACCAGTCCAGTTTCAATAGGCTCTTATTGCAGTTTAACATTGAAAATATGAGCTTTTAAACAAGAATGGATTTTGTCTACATTGGTAGCACAAAGAAATGTTCATACTCAGAGCACACATTTTGTGCATGTTCTGAGATGACATTTTGTTAATCTCATAAAAGATATATAAATTTAGGACAATTTTATGCTATAGGTTTTTAATCCAACAGACTACTGCTGTTACAATGCAGTCTGGGAAAAGGCTGAGCGAACACACACACAAACATATACACAAACAGGTTCATATCTAAGGTAGTCATAGTTTTACATTATTCTTCTCCTAAACATGGATAAAGTAAAAAACAAAAAAAAAACACCACCAAAATAATTAAAGGCCTTTGAGAGTTTTTCTTGGAATCTAATTACTATAGGTCTTTTGTAAGTCTTCGTATCAAATAAAAGAATCTCAGTAGAGACTGAGACTTATCATCTATGGACCTTATCAGAAAGCAATCAAAGGAAATGCTCTCAGTGACTACACTGCACTCCTACTTCAGGTGAACACAAAGGGGAGTTCAACTTCGTCAACAATAAAAGCAAAAGGAAATTTTCACTCAGATAAAGGGCTTGTTTCCTTATGTTGCCTAAACGGCTGTTTGGAGTTGATTTAATCAGAATCACGTCAGATTTTGAAGAATTATATAATAGGAAAATAAAAGGGATGCTCATACATAATTTTTCCAAAAAGATCAATATATCCAAATGTGTATATGTTGTTCTTACCAGCCCATACATAATCCTGCCATAGAATAAATACTATGATCAGGAGTTTTAAGTTGTACCTTAAACTGTGTTCCAGGAAAATGCAGTTGTAGACGGTCCAAAATTATTCTTTGATAGTTTATTTCTTTACTAAGCCAAACCTTGACAGAATAGCCATCTCCAAACCTGAGAATGATACACAAAAACATAAATCCATTTGTCTACACTATGAAGACAGGAAGAACATTTGTTTCAATTGATTTTCCTATAATGATTATGTCAAATAACATCATTTATGCCTACTATATTATCACTGTGATTTTAGTATCATACTATTGAACAATAGCATTTCAATGAGAAAGTTGTTAAATTAATGATAACAAAGAGAAACAAAAAAAAAGTGTTATGCCTACATTTTAATTACTACAGGATATTTCACTATCCAATGTACCTGAACTTATGCCAAAGTATGCTTTAATTACTATATTGCTTTGAATGGTTAGCAAAGAACTACGAAGACTGCCAATCACAAAAACAGAAGAAAAAAAAATCCTTTAACTTTTCTAATGAGAAAAATGGGCATGTAGTACTATTTTTCAAATCTTTTAACAAAGCTGCACAGCTTTTATTTCAGCAATGTGAGTACAATTGTGTTTTACAGATACACAAAGGCAATTATAAGGATATTTAGAGAGATGGCAAAGTTAATGAATTTTCTTTAGCTCTATGGCTACACAATCTGTCTCAGAATAGTTTAGGAAATGAACTTCTCTTTCTCAACGTACATGTGATAAAAGTTAAGCACAGGCAATCTAACCAACACATTATTTTTTATTAGATTTACTCACTGCTAGTATTTAGTTGGGGAAGTTGCAATAAACCCATAAACACTGAAATGGCAACCATATTTTTACGCACATTGCTTAAGCAATGGAAGTTATGCAGCACCAGTTCCCAGAGCAAGGTGCAAGGGGAGAGCTCAGCAGAGAGATGGGGCAACATGGGGCTGCTGCTGCATCCCTCCCGTCCCAGCCCTCCTTTGCAGCTACGTGTCCTCCCTTTGGGTTCACCTTGTTGGTTAATTTCTAGGGAAAAAAAAGCAGCAGCAGGAACCAGGTCAGAAGATCTTTCCTCTGCCGCTGCTGTTCCCTGTGAGCAATGGAAAGGCAGAGCTGGGAGAGGGACAGGGAGCTCAGACTGCATTGCCCACGTCCCCCCAGAAACTTGCCACTTCCTCCGTCTTCCCACTGACCACCACTCCCACATCCTTCACTCCAGCGTTACTTCCTTTTCTTCACTCTCCAGCTCCACAATTACTCATCGCCAAATCCTTTCCTTCAGTTCTTCGGTTTCTAGTGGCTATCCTCTGTATTACTCCCTCATGCCAACACCCTCCTCTCCCATGTCTTTTCCGTGTACAGCTTGTGATTCAGGGTAGCAGCTGGGTTAATTGGCTCTGACAGGTGTGAAGCACATTTTCATGTGATCAAAGCAGACGTATCACAGCACACTCGATGATGCTGCCCTTTTCCAATATAGAAAAAAATGTCTACAGAATACCAAAGTGTAATAAAAATAGAAAGGACTATTCTGAGACATATGTCCAGTTTAACCACTGTCTGAGCGACTCCCAGCAAAATACTTCACACGAAGCACCACATGTTCCTCATCTATAATATGTGTATAGCAATGTAAGGGCTTTAACTTTTGTTTTGTGTTGGACCAGAACCTCTGTCGGTATAAAGCAATAAAAATTTCACTGATTTCAGAGCAGCGCAAGTTTGCACAATGAAAAATTCTAGACTGCAGATTTTATTCTATTAAGAATTTCACATGAATTCAAAATGTAATTTCCAAGGATCTTCTCAGAGAAGAATCCTATTTCTTTGTGTAGAATGAAACCGTAGTTGCTACATTTTAGGTATGACAGCGGCAGCTTCTGCATAAGAAGTTGCACTGTATGAAAAGCCACATTACAAATAAATTATTGTAGGGTTTTTTGGTCTTTGGTTGTAGTTTTTGTTTGTTTTTTATTGCAGTCAAATGCAACCACTGAACTGTTTGAAATGGAGTAAGAAGAAACATTCCTGATGCAGTGTCCTGTTTGTTGGTTCCCGAAGGACATTATATAAATTAAATCCTATCGGGTCCAAGCTGTAGGGTACCAAATATTCACTGAGCAATAAGACCTGACAGATGAACAGTGCTGTTACACCAAAAAGATCCAGAATAAGGTGGAATCCAAAGCAGTGGCTGGCTGATTTACTTTGCAATGATTTACTAACACATAATAGATCTCTAATTAAATGTTTTAAATGCATAGCATCATCCCTGAAAAAATACGTGTGACAATAAAAAAAGATGTTACAACGATGGATACAGTTAACAAGGGTGTTCAATTTAGTTGACAGCCAACCTGAGGCAACATTTTACAAGAGATCTTTGATTCTGATCAGTTTTCTGGCATCTCTACACAGCCACCATTGAATTACAGTTTGAAAAATGTTGGCTTATGGAGACGTTCAACAGTCTCATAAAATGAAATTGTTGTATGCAATGAAGTTTCCAAAGAAAATTAATCAGAATTCTGATTAGCAAAGACAGAAAAGTCTGTGCAACTTTGATTTAATTCTAAATTGTGAACAGCATAAACACCGGCATGGCATGAATAAAAAACTTTAAAAGATTTTTTCCTTTTGGCTAGTCAAATTATGATGCTTCTACACCTTGATTTTATAATTCATTTTAGTAGAAGAGCTCCCCATATAGAGTAAGCTGGTAAGCAATAAACATTTCCCCTTGCTGTAATCAGCAAGCTGCTTTCAGCAGCGAACGGAGGCAATGGAAATTGAGTTGACCATTTTTTTCACTGTTTTCCTCCCTGATTCAGACAATATAATTAATTCAGAAACCCAAAGTGGAATTAGAGAAAAGCACAATCTGGTTTGATTAGCACTGTTAGGATCAAACCTTTAGCACCTGATAGTTCAAGACCTAAGGAGGGAAACATTGTCATTAAAATGGCATAAGCTGAGCAGGCACACCTGTTCAGCAGCCATCTGCTGCAGAAGAATCACCATCTCTTCAAAGCTATTCAGCAAAGATATTTTCCACTGCTAATTTCTACCACATTACTTTAACAACACCTGCATTTTTATTTCTGTATACACACACACAAAAAACCCCACATATTCTGACAAAAAATATTTTTTCCTCTCTATCCTTCCTCTTCCTCAGTCAAACTAGTTGTTCACATCTGACTTTCACCTCATTGGCGGTTCTGGGAGTATTATGTATTGAGTGCTTTACCTACTAAAATGCCACCATGAGACTGAAACTAAAATATAAATTCCCAGACTGATTGTAAACTAATTAACCTGGGTATTAATAACAGCATCAGCTGCAGAAGCATGAGCTTAGCAAGGACTACAAAACACATCCAACAGCTCCACACCTTTAATTACACAGGTCCTCAAGCTAGCTGAGCAGCTCAAATAACAAGGGAACAAAAGGAACATCAAATAGCAACAAGGAGTGGAACAATTTCCATATCAGGAATTACTAAATAGGCTAGAACTTTTCAGCATCGAAGAAAGATGGCGAGGTGGTAGAAAGGTGTTTTTACGGAGCCCAGAATCACAGCTGGCCTAAGGAATGTAACTAAGGAATGATTAACTTACAGCAGGGTCCAGAACGACCAGCTCGTTGAATCACACTCTTCCCAAAGCCCATTTACCATCTCTTCTCTCCCCCAATCAAAATTGCTGAATGTAACCTCAGGAAATCAAGAACATGGCCCTATTTCCTAAATGTGGATGAATAAGAAAAGCATCTAATCATCCATATGCTTTTTTCCACTAATCAAAGGTTACCTTTCCTGGAGAATGTTGTGCTATATATATATATACACCAAAAAATTACAGCTTCCAGAAAGTTTACTGGTGGAAATATAATATGCATACTTTATGTATGCTCTAGTCTCACTGATCAAAAATTACTTCAAAGTGACATGATTGGGTAACAAATTAAAAAATAATAAAGAGAACATTGGCACTTAATATCTGCAAGGAACTGCATCTTTTAGAACATATGCCATAAATCAAAGAGGGGGAATAATTTACTACTGTGCTGTTTGCCCCTCTGCTTTGGTTTACATTCATTTGCATACAGACATGGTTCTGCTTTCCCTAAGTGAATAGGCCTCATCTAGACAAGCTAACTTAGTTATTCCAGTATGATTGCTGAAGCACGGGATACAGATTCAGGTCATTCCCCTCACCACCATAGACACAAGTACAATTTACGAAGAGAACAAGACTTTAACAAGACTGAAAATAAAACACTTTGGAAAACATTAAAAAAAGAAACAAAAATTGAAATAAAATTATTAAAACAAATACATCACAGTTTAAGATAATTTTAAATCAGACAATAAATTTAGTTATTTCATTATTAAGTGGCAGTTAAAGACAATATCTAGGAAGGAAAAAAGGTTATTAAATTCGAAATAATTGCTTTGTTTTTAAAAAAATGCTAAAATCAAATGCAAATATACTATCGCTTGCCAAATGTGAATTCCTTCTGCAATTATTCAGAACAACCTCAGTGTTGCTGAACAGATAAACTTGATTAGATGCAAACAAACAAACAGACATAACAAATAAATTATAAAATACATCCTCCATATACTATTCATAGATTTTGTTTCATCATTTTTCAATTGATTATGATTTTTCCAGGGTAACAATAGAAACATGAAAACATTTATTAAAACAACGAGTAACACTTGTTCAAGTATATTGTACGTGCACTATCTGTTCACACACACTCCAGGCTTTCATATCAAGACATCTAAAGTTAATTTCTGTATTCAATAATATCAATATTTCTGTATTCAATAATATGGCATTGCCATAACAGTGACAGCCTCAGGTTATGAGCGATGCAGGGTACATCTTGGCCTTGCTCTCTGAATGTAAGCATTTAAACGCTTAGGTGTGATTTCCAAATATGTGGTAAAATCTTGTTAGTTGTTTATACATGTGCACACACAAAATCTGTCTGTATACGAGCTTGTATGTCTGCACATACAGGCAAGTACCAGAGATCTGTTACTCTTTTATTATTTATATGTTACATTCCCAGCGAAACAGGAACAGCAGCACTGTAATTCTGTGTAAGGCTGA